GGTACTTGTACGAAGCTAATTCACATATATTAATACAAAAATGATGGTATAATCAACTTAGATATCATTGTTAAAAAGTAAAAACCACTAGTAAGCTAATTTTGATCTGAAATGGTCATTTCGATCTGAACAATCCTTAAAAGTCTGAAAAAAAACCAAATTATTACTTTATTTTTAAATTTCCAATAAATGTTCACAGACTGAATCACTGCCGTAAATCAACACTGTTCTGAAAATCAACTTGCAGGCAATTACGATTTTATTTGAGTCTATGTACAGACTGTTCAGTTGTTGTTATGATCAGTACTGCATTTATCGCAATAAATGAATCTGAAGATTGACTGACAGACTGAACCTGACTGAACAATTTATTGTTTTGACATTTCAGATGATGTTCAGATTAAAGGTTACGTTTACTAGTGCAACCAGGTCATTGACACATATATAGGAACCAGTTAAGGCAGTTCGAAAAGAGGAGCGAAAGATACCAGAGGGACATTCAAACTCATAAATCGAATATAAACTGCAATGTCAACTGTGCTTGAGCTATACATACTTGCTTGAACATGTTGTATACAATGAACATTTTTCTTCACTGCCTCTTTATTTTTCTCCCACTTTCAAAGTTTATCCCCGCGTATCGTTCATGCTTGAATCGAATTGCCCCTATTGCATAAACATTTATTTCTACGTTGTTTGTTAATTCTTTATTCCAATACAAATAACACTTATGTAACGTAGTGTATCTTAGTCTTTAGTACATGTATGAATCATCTATGTCCACATTGACACCAAAAATATAGCGGTGCTTCCCCTTCTAGTCAATAATTAACCGTTTTTTAATTGGTAGACCGTACTAGATTATATTTGTTTCTCATAGATTTCATTTTATTAACAGAGTTATACTATCAATTTACGCAAAATGTTTCTACGGAGTTATCAGGAAAATGCACAAACATCATAAGTGCACAGATGCTATTTATAAAGTATGGTTTGAAAATAAGTCTAGTTTCAGTCATTGACCCATACGTGTGTACTTTAAACATTACAAACATTCTGTAACAAACTCCAGTTATTTATGTAATAGATATTTATTTGACATAGGACTATATGTTATGTTAGGGCTTATTTTCGCTAACACCGGACTATATAGTCAAGCAGACCTTTCATGTGTATCACGTGATTAGGCACCTATTAAAATTTCACAGGTGAGTTTCAAATCAGACGACACATGGCCATTGGGTAAAGCACACCCTTGTGCTGAGTATAGAGTTGGTACAAATTGCAGTTGGGTATTAAAATTGTCAGTTCAGGACATGGATATCCCAAGGCTTAATATTAAAACACTCAGGCAAGATATTTATACTTATTTATATAGTACATTAAGGTCTATTTTGCTGTCGAGATGATATTTCTTACTCGCGGTTAAGACTGTCCGGATAATTGCTATATCATGCAAATGTATAGATAAAGTTAGTAATTTTTGGGTTCAATATTTATTTTGCAGGGGTTTTTAGGCCCGGTTTTTGTTGTGCGTACAGCACATAGTAAATACCGTCGACTGGTCGGTGATATATAGTGTCGGAGATACAAATGTTGTTATTGTTAATATGGTAACAACTCGATGTTTTCTGATATCAATTACAACGTCTGGAGTCAGTGAAATGATCCGTTAGAAACATATACAAACAGTCCGTTAAAATACATATCAAAGGAATCGAGCAGTCCGTGCAGTATTATGCAGTTTAAAGTCGTCATTGCTCATTGAAGTTATCATTGCAGTAAACTTATATTTAAATTTAGTTTTGTATAATATTGGCCACTTGACAATCCAAAGAACTTACTTCGTTACACATTCTACATCGATATTCACAGTAAGGTTATTAAAATTAAATGTAGCTTTGCACTATCTGTTTAATTAACCTTGACGTATCGTGTTTTCATTATTTGCAAAGGGTTTTTACACTTAAAAAAGAAGCACTGGTTAACTTTAAAATCTGAACTATTAACACTTAAAGGTGGTGTTAGGTTATCATTAACATGAAATGAATATAATATTGAGTAAACGCCTTACAAATATGACAATAAAGGTTTCGTGCAAATTTTAAATGCAAGTTTTTACAAAACTTCAAATTCTTTTTTTTTTTAAATCAATTTGTCATCTATAATAAACAGAGAATGCTTTTAATAAAAAAAAATAGTGAGGCATAGACTTATCATGCGCAAATAAATTATTATAAAATTATCTGTATTAAACAATTTATATCTATAGTTTTAAGGATAAAATAACTTTTCTTGCAGAAAAAATTGCATAGCTAAACAGCAAATATGTATTTCTGTAATATAAAGTTGTGACTTTACATAAGTTGGTTGAATACTAAGAATAAATTATTTCTCTTAAAGCAGTATACACGTTTTCAATATCGATGATATTTACAGAGGGTTTTTTGGTAAATGGGGTCTATTCTATATCTTTTCGAGACCGTATCCTCAAATACTGCCAATTTGCTCCGTCTGAACAATACATATTTGTTCTTTGTCTGGTTTCGTTTTAACATCCTCAACCTTGCTACGTGGCGCATGATTACGTATACTGATAAGGCATTCACGCAAATATGGAATGTGGTGTTTTAGACCACAATACTTAAATACTTGTTAAAAAAACCTAAGATTTCGATCAATGCTTGTATGTCATAGGCGGGCATTCAACATGAATATGTATACAAGCACACTGTAACAACTACTTATGAGAAAATTAAACATGTAGTAATTTTTTCGCCTTTTCATCGTGTTTCTATTAAAAGAGAGGTAAATCTGTATTTCTTTCGAATAAATCTATAAGAAAGTATATATCATCTCTCTATAATAAATTCATCAAATTACTGACGAACTTGCCACTGTCTAATGCCTTCATTGAAACCTCTTATTGAGTCATCTAAAAATATATGCATAAATTGTCTTTCATCTTTAATAAGTGCTTTGTTTATATGCCTTTTTGTGTTTATTTGTTACATATCTTTGTTTTTATAGTGATTAAGATTATCACACAATGTTGACTGCTGTACCCCAATTTTTGACATTTGTACCTATTATGTCTGTTTGTTTTGTTCACACATCGTTGTCAATGTAATGGAATTATATGCGACTGTCATACAAGTGAGAGGTTTAGCTAGCTATAAAACCAGGTTTAATCCACCATTTTCTACATAAGAAAATGCCTGTACCAAGTCAGGAATATGACAATTTTTATCCATTAGTTTAGTGTGTTTGAGCTTTTGATTTTGCCATTTGATTAGGGACTTTCCGTTTTGAATTTTCCTCGGCGTTCGGTATGTTTGTGATTTTACTTTTTAAAAGTTAATGGATTATTGATTGTTGATATCATACTTATCTACAATGTAAAGTTTCTGTTAACCTTATGGAACTAATTAGACAATTATAAAAACTTTTGGATGATCAATCTTAATACGAACCCCTTCTGTATTTCCAATTACACGACCCCTCACTAACCAGTCATCTTAATATAAAAAACCAATGGAATGATGTATGGGTCCGAGTTTGCTTCTTTGTCAATTTTGCTGTTTTACTTTTCTCTGCATCATCTTTTATTTTCAAGAAAATATTCAAAAGCTATAATCATCATTTTAGCGGAAAACATAAATAAATGTTTTTAAAAACTTAAATAAACTGTCATCTGACGGTTTCAGATTCAGATACTTTGTCTTCTTGTAGTTCGTGTATTGTCATTTACCTTTTCTGTTTATAGGTTCTTATTATGAAATACAGATTTTGGGTTATTTTGCATAATATTTAAATCAAAGCAAACAATTATACCAAAAATTGTCGATCAAATTTGAGGACTGAAAGGAAATTCGATTTCCATATGCTAACCAAAGTGCGATTCCAGTGTAAGTTTTATTGATATCTTTCGTAAATGTTGATGATTATTTATTAACTTATTGAAAACACAGTCTCATAGAAAAGAGTGATCGAAAATTTGTATATTCTTCATATGTAGGATTTCCGTGAAGTTTACGTATCCAGTATATTTTGGGATAGTTGAGATTCTTATTGTCCTGTTTAATGTTAATACCAAAGAGAGAATTTCAGATTTGTGATTTGCTGAAGATCCTCTTTCGTAAATATTGTAAAGGTATATGTAGAATATCAAGCTTTGCTGATAATTCCATGTTCGTTAGTGAAAATTCTAAATAAAGGTGTATGCATAAAAAACGAATATTGTCTAATAGAATAACAACATGCATAATACAATGGTTCAAAAAGATGTTAATGCATCCAAAACCTCGGACCTCTAGAAATGGACAGAAATCCGTGAGCACTTTGTATGTCGTAGAATACTTATTTACATTTACATGCACGAACACACAACATTATGCTATTAGTATTTAGATAAAGTGTCTAACTTTGTTTCGGTTCGACTAGCTCGCGCTTCACAGATTTGTTGGCAGAGTCATCGACTGAAATCATCAGTATATACACAGGAAAAATTGCAACATATGTTTTTCATATGTTTTCAAAACATATGAAAAACATATGATTTTCATATGTTTTTCATATGTTTGTCCCAAACATATGAAAAACATATGTTTACAAACATATGTTTACATATGTTTTGAAACATATGAAAACATATGGAAGCAAACATATGTTTTCATATGTTTTATAAAATATGTTTACATATGTTTTAAAGGACATTAAAAAAAAATGTTTTGAGAAAATGTCAAAATTTGTCATTTAATTATCACATACATTTTTTCATTTATTATCTATATAGCGTATTTCTCAAACAGGAAAGTTCACTTTCTACTCTTCCCACTAAATCCCACATGATCATGATGATGAAAGCAGGTCAGCCCTGTCAGTGTCATTCCCCACAGCAGATATATCTAATTTTGAATTGAACAGAATGTAGAATAAGTGAATGGGTTATAAATATTAAATAATAATATGAATAAATATTTTTTATTTAGTTTGTTCTTTATTCTCAATTCTTTTTTTTTTTTTATTAATAATCCAATTATTCTCTATGATTCTTTATTCTATATTTCTGCCTTTTTTACTATCTGTTCTTTATTTTGCACTTTTTGTCATTATTTTCTATTCTTAAACTCCCATCTTGATTCCAGACCCTCAAATATACGTAAATGTACGAAAGCTTGCATGAGCCCCCTTGCATGGTACGTCGAACACGAAAACCCGGAAATCTTTTCACCGTTACCGTTTTTTATACTATGACGCAAAATCCATGGACGCTCACGCGATCATCTGTTGCTGTCTTTTTATAAGTTTTTAAGAATGGACAGAGATAGATGATACAAGGAACTTTGGTTTTTCAAACTGGTGAATCAAAAATTTATTATAAACAGTTAAATTGAAATGGGTGACTTGTCGATTAACTGGAAGAAACCGGGGAACGAAACATAGAAAATCAACGCAACAAAAGTCAAAGTGTTTTTGTTTTGATGGATAATTTTACGTACCCTAAAAGCGGAACGAAAGGTAAATATTATTATGCACATTTTGTTTAATTATTGGATTAAAGCAGGAAGATGTGTGTGCTTTATTTTTCACGAAAGACTATTTGACTAGATATTTGTAAGCCTGAGAACGACATTGAACCCCCCTCCCCCATATTGTAATATAAATGTAATTGCATTGGGTAATCCGTTTCATTATCTATTTATATTTCATAATGAGGATATTACAAGATTTAGACACAAATACATCCCAAATAACCATATAAATTGTAAGCCCTTTAGACAATAAGACAAACTTGGAAAAAGGGGGGATATCATATACTTGATGTAATGTATTGGAATTGTTTATCTAATGTCACAACAGAACTTAATTTCTTTAAATGATGCAGACCTGTATATCTTATGATAAATGTGTGGTATTTGTATTTGTTTTTCAGTTGTTTTAAAACCATAAAAATGTAGACGACTTTATTATCTCTCTAGCAATTAATAGCTATTTTACACTTAATAGATAGGGGTGCCCCTGGGGATCAATTACTCCCCCCTTTTCATATAATTTAGATTTAAAAAATGTATATACCTTTTCATACATCGCGTAGGTAATAATGTACATGTAACCTTTTCCCAATTTTAATAATGAATGATTCCAGGACATGCAGGAGCGGACAAGAATCACATTCCGGTATTACCGAGAAAATCATCACATTTGATTAAAGCTCAAATCTGAGGCTCAAATTCCTTATTTTATGTTAACTTAAGGCAAAACGAGACTTGCAACTACACAAATGTAAGAAAATTACAGGGCTTTGCATCTGAGAGGGGGGTAGGACCTTTATCGGGACTCTGGGATCGGGTGTTTTTAAGCTCGGGATTTCAGGATTGATCCTTTCGGGATCCGGGAATTCTTTTTTTTCGAATTTCGGGATGTCTGGATTTAATTTTTTTTAAATTCGGGACCTCAGAATTCCATGTTTTTAAGCCCGGGATTTCAGGATCAGGACCCCTCCTACCCCCCATCATATGACAAGTACAATAGGCCTTGATTATCCTGAGTCTGAGACTACTATTACTGAGTACTATAACAATAAACATCTAGTATTTCTCAGCCTTATCATACATGTATTATACTTCTGATAGTTTTCCACACCTATTCACATATGTTTAAGCTGAAAAATATGACCCAGGCTATTACAGCGGCAGGTCTTATCACCTTGTACATTATAAGTAGAAGTGGACCCTAGAGTGCATGAATGGTCTACTTTACATCTACTTAAATGTGAATATAAAAATAAAAAGATGTGGTAAGATTGCCAATGAGAAGAGTCCAATTCTCCACAAGAGATCAAATGACATAGAAGTTAACAAGTATATTAAAGTTATGGTACAAATGTACAAGATGACTTCAACAATGAACAAAGCCCATACCAGAAAGTCAGCTATAAAAGACATTTAATGGAAATGACAAATGTTAAACAATGCAAATGAGGAAACTAACAGACTGATAATGATTTATAAACAAAACAAGGAACAAATACACAAATATGATATACAGCAACAAGAAACAGGGCAAGTCTAGATCTGTTGTTCTTGTTTTAAAAGATCAAAATAAGCTATTTTTGCCATATAAAAATATTTAAGGCAATTTGGCAGATGTATTGTAACTTCATCTTATTATACATTTGAACATGTTATACACTATTTCTTTTAGCATTTTCAATAAAAGTACACTTTGTACATGTACTTCAACAGAACAGAATTCATTTGAGGCCTTGCTTTCTAGATTATATAATGGATTCATAGATTGTCATATTGATTTATGTGCATAAAAGGAGCAGTAGTCAATGAATAATTTTATGATGAAAGGTATGTAATGAAGAGGATAACTTTGTTTAAATATTTTGTTGTTGTCAGACTGTATACATGTTGCAAGTTTTGAGGTCATAGACATGATAGAGTTGAAAGTTTTGATTCTTGTTGTGGGCTATTTCTATAAGCAGTGACAAATTTTTTTTTTTACAGGTCAATTTTATATAAAATAGGGTTGGAAGCTCTATTAACACTTCATTGCTTGTTCTTTTTTTGTCTTGCAACAAAAATTAAGGTAAGGTAAATATTATTATGCACATTTTGTTTAATTATTGGATTAAAGCAGGAAGATGTGTGTGCTTTATTTTTCACGAAAGACTATTTGACTAGATATTTGTAAGCCTGAGAACGACATTGAACCCCCCTCCCCCATATTGTAATATAAATGTAATTGCATTGGGTAATCCGTTTCATTATCTATTTATATTTCATAATGAGGATATTACAAGATTTAGACACAAATACATCCCAAATAACCATATAAATTGTAAGCCCTTTAGACAATAAGACAAACTTGGAAAAAGGGGGGATATCATATACTTGATGTAATGTATTGGAATTGTTTATCTAATGTCACAACAGAACTTAATTTCTTTAAATGATGCAGACCTGTATATCTTATGATAAATGTGTGGTATTTGTATTTGTTTTTCAGTTGTTTTAAAACCATAAAAATGTAGACGACTTTATTATCTCTCTAGCAATTAATAGCTATTTTACACTTAATAGATAGGGGTGCCCCTGGGGATCAATTACTCCCCCCTTTTCATATAATTTAGATTTAAAAAATGTATATACCTTTTCATACATCGCGTAGGTAATAATGTACATGTAACCTTTTCCCAATTTTAATAATGAATGATTCCAGGACATGCAGGAGCGGACAAGAATCACATTCCGGTATTACCGAGAAAATCATCACATTTGATTAAAGCTCAAATCTGAGGCTCAAATTCCTTATTTTATGTTAACTTAAGGCAAAACGAGACTTGCAACTACACAAATGTAAGAAAATTACAGGGCTTTGCATCTGAGAGGGGGGTAGGACCTTTATCGGGACTCTGGGATCGGGTGTTTTTAAGCTCGGGATTTCAGGATTGATCCTTTCGGGATCCGGGAATTATTTTTTTTTTCGAATTTCGGGATGTCTGGATTTAATTTTTTTTTAAATTCGGGACCTCAGAATTCCATGTTTTTAAGCCCGGGATTTCAGGATCAGGACCCCTCCTACCCCCCATCATATGACAAGTACAATAGGCCTTGATTATCCTGAGTCTGAGACTACTATTACTGAGTACTATAACAATAAACATCTAGTATTTCTCAGCCTTATCATACATGTATTATACTTCTGATAGTTTTCCACACCTATTCACATATGTTTAAGCTGAAAAATATGACCCAGGCTATTACAGCGGCAGGTCTTATCACCTTGTACATTATAAGTAGAAGTGGACCCTAGAGTGCATGAATGGTCTACTTTACATCTACTTAAATGTGAATATAAAAATAAAAAGATGTGGTAAGATTGCCAATGAGAAGAGTCCAATTCTCCACAAGAGATCAAATGACATAGAAGTTAACAAGTATATTAAAGTTATGGTACAAATGTACAAGATGACTTCAACAATGAACAAAGCCCATACCAGAAAGTCAGCTATAAAAGACATTTAATGGAAATGACAAATGTTAAACAATGCAAATGAGGAAACTAACAGACTGATAATGATTTATAAACAAAACAAGGAACAAATAAACAAATATGATATACAGCAACAAGAAACAGGGCAAGTCTAGATCTGTTGTTCTTGTTTTAAAAGATCAAAATAAGCTATTTTTGCCATATAAAAATATTTAAGGCAATTTGGCAGATGTATTGTAACTTCATCTTATTATACATTTGAACATGTTATACATTATTTCTTTTAGCATTTTCAATAAAAGTACATTTTGTACATGTACTTCAACAGAACAGAATTCATTTGAGGCCTTGCTTTCTAGATTATATAATGGATTCATAGATTGTCATATTGATTTATGTGCATAAAAGGAGCAGTAGTCAATGAATAATTTTATGATGAAAGGTATGTAATGAAGAGGATAACTTTGTTTAAATATTTTGTTGTTGTCAGACTGTATACATGTTGCAAGTTTTGAGGTCATAGACATGATAGAGTTGAAAGTTTTGATTCTTGTTGTGGGCTATTTCTATAAGCAGTGACAAATTTTTTTTTTTACAGGTCAATTTTATATAAAATAGGGTTGGAAGCTCTATTAACACTTCATTGCTTGTTCTTTTTTTGTCTTGCAACAACAGTCATGAAGGTGAGTCTTGGGCATGCTGTTTTTAACAGAGGCGAAGTAATAAACAATTTGTTAAAAATTGAGATTAGGTCAGTTTAAGAGGAACCAAACAATAACTTATGGCCGAGTTATGGTTAAATAAGCCAATAATATTTTTTGCAGTAGAAGTAGGATATCCACTTCTCATTTCCATTTCCATTGAGATTATATGGTCCAAATCCCTCAGTCATGGTTGATTGACTTTGATATTTTTACTTAACTTAAATGTGAAAAGTTTCTGATTAGGTCAGTTTGAGTGAACCAATAATGATAAATCATTGATATTTGCATGAATTGATATGCAGTTGTATATGTCAGAGTACTAGCACATTTCATATCCCTTGTTTTTTATTTTGCCCAGCCCCTCAGTCATGGTCTATTGATTTTGAAACTTTGTCAAGTCATGGATGGTGTATGACTTTGGATGTTTAAGCATTGTCATTTGAATATCAACATTTGAAATCAACTAACAGGATTTCATACAGAGAAGACATGCTTCTATGTCTAAAGTTTATTCATATAATATTAATGTATACCAAAGGTTTATTATATACCAGTAATGTCTTGGATAAATTATTTATACAGGAATTACTTCATTTTGAAATGTAAATTCTATGGAAGATAACCATTTTTTCCAGTAAAGCACTGTTATGGTTGCATTTTTTTGTCAGATATTTTTGCAATTCATACCATAGGTCTATATCAGCATGGTCTTTTAGTTTTTTGAGTTAGAAAATAACTGCTGATCAAATATGTTTACAGTAGTTATACCTCTTGGAAATAGATATTGTAAGAAAAACTGCATTGCAAGCAATCCCACACATGTCTTCATTTCTTTTAGATTATTTATAATTATGAAAAAGGTTAAAAGAACATACATATTTTTTGCTTTTTGACAGCAAATTTTATATATCCATCAATTGGCGAAGTACATTGAAGCGCTGTTCTTTTATTAAGTGCATGAAGTATGGATGGTAACACAAATGACAACATATTATGTTCATGAGTTAATATTGCCTTGTCTGAAAATAGTATACGCGAAGTACTAACATTGAACTATGGTAATGTTGTGACCCTAACGCTGTAGTGAATGACGTTATTGTATAGATTTCATAGCTACAACAACGATTAAACGTACATTGCAATCATAAGTATTTATTAAGATTCCACAACATGCCGATAAATAGAAGTGGGACATTTAAAGACGTATCGTATCCGTATCTGATACGTTGACGTATCTGCTTGTATTATGTTTACATACCTGCTTCTTGTATGTCAAAATCCTGTCTTAATCACATTTATTGCCCTTAAAGTGATGTATCTACGATATATATTTACAGTACCTATTATAATACAATCATAAAAACATTACATGAACGACATCAGAAGCTAACATTTACACACATTTAACAATCACGTGATTTTCGAGTCAATCTGTATACTTGTATAAATTTTAGCACTCGATATTTGAATCATTAGAACTACCCAGGCGTGAAGTTCAATTATAAAAAATACATAAAGTTAAGGATTGTGTACCCTTTTGTTGTTTCAATGCTAAACATATGGACATTTCATAGAAAATCCACAGCCTTTCACCTTGCCCTCAGGCTCTTATATTTGACAATTCGGTGCGTGTTATATAGAGGATTATTACATGTCGTGCTAGCAATGGTTTTTTTTAAACAAGTTTATCAATAAAGATATTGGTTAAAACAAATATAAATATGGACCAATTCAAGTACACCTCCTCTAGGATTCGCTCGACTTTAGTGATTCAGCACGATGAGTTTTGGAATATAAATTTTAAGGTTGTTTGTGATTTTTTGTTAAAAACAAACGCTGGCACATCATGGACAAACAAGTAAGTAATCTACGTTTATAATTTTATAACGAAAATCTCTGTATTGAAGTCTGTAGGTTTTCTGCAAAAATCTTTGCTTTATTTGCTACAAAATCACTATTTTCTATAAAATACAATAAAACATAGATAATATTTCTTTGGATCAATTTCCTATTGGTATATGTACGAAATGACAGATCTCTTTTATTTGTTATCTTCGCTGTTTTGCTATTACTTCATCTTATACATTTCGTACAACACAGGACTACAGAAGGGGTCATAAACCGTACGTGAACAATATTTATACACATACTTTATTGCTTGTAAATGAGGATTGTGTCGGATTCATTACTTATACCAATAATAATAAATTTGTAAATTGGCAGGCAATACTTTTTTTCCAATTATTTAAACTGAAAGAGACCGAAAAATCTGCATCACCCTTTCCTTATATTTCCCCGCTTTTCCCTATTCCCGAAATCTCTACCACGATTTTGACTCAATCATTAACTACATTTGCATTACAATGATCATTTAAACAATAACACATAGATATGTTCAGATACGTCAACGTACCAGATACGGATACGATACGTCTTTAAATGTCCCACCTCTATCGGTGTATTTAAACAATTTTGCCTATGTAACAGGAAATCAAGATTTAATAAACATCAAGAGTTAATGCCTAAATGTTGTTTTTTATACGACCGCAAAAAAATTTTGCGGTCGTATATTGGTATGACGTTGGCGTCGTCGTCGTCGTCGTCGTCCGAAGACACATTGGTTTTCGCACTCTAACTTTAGTTTAAGTGAATGGATCTCTATGAAATTTTACCATAAGGTTCAATACCACAAAAGGAAGGTTGGGATTAATTTTGGGGGTTATGGTACCAACAGTTAAGGAATAAGGGGCTAAAAATAAGCATTTTTGTAACTTCGAGACATAACTTGTGTGTTAGTGTATGGATCTCTCTGACATTGTACCACAAGGTTCCATATCACAAAGGGAATACTGGGATTGATTTTGGGGGTAATTGCCTCAAAATTTTAGGAATTAGGGGCCAAAAAAAAGGCAAAAAACAAGCATTTTTCTAGTTTCATGACAATAACTTGTGTGTAAGTTTATGGATCTTTCTGAAATTGTACTACAAGGTTCCATATCACAAAGGGAAAGCTGGAATTGAGTTTTGGGGTAACTACGTTTAGGAATAAGGGGCCAAAAAGAAGCATTTTTCTAGTTTCCAGACAATAACTTGTGTTCAAGTGTATGGATCTCTGAAATTGCACTGCAAGGTACCATACCACAAAGGGAAGGCTGGGATTGATTTTGGGGGTAATTGCCTCAAAATTTTAGGATTTGAGGCCAAAAAGGGGCAAAAAACAAGCATTTTTCTAGTTTCAGGACAATAACTTGTGTGTAAGAGTATGGATCTTTATGAAGTTGTACTACAAGGTTCCATATCACAAAGGGAAAGCTGGGTTTGAGTTTGGGGGTAATTGCCCTAAATGTTTAGGAATTTGGGACCAAAAAAAGGCTTAAAACAAACATTTTTCTAGTTTCCAGACAATAACTTGTGTTCAAGTGTATGGATCTCTCTGAAATTGTACTGCAAGGTACCATACCACAAAGGGAAGGCTGGGATTGAGTTTGGGGGTGATGAATCATAAGGGGGTTCAAAAAATTTGGGGGAGGGATTTTTTTTCCTTTTTTTTTTCTTTAAAAGGCAAATAATAATGAGTCTTTTTTTATTATGATATGGTTTGAATAGGTAAATTAAAAACATTTAAGTTCTTAGACCACATTCATTCTGTGTCAGAAACCTATGCTGTGTCAAATATTTAATCACAATCCAAATTCAGTGCTGTATCAAGCTTGAACGTTGTATCCATACTTGCCCCAACCATCAGGGTTCAACCTCTGCTGTCGTATCAAGCTGTGCCCAGCAGAGCATTTTATTTTAAACTGTAGACAGCAGAATAGATGATTTATATTGGAAAAAGTTCATACTATACTAAGACGGGCTTAGGGTATACATATATTATTAATATTAGTTACACTGTTGATCTTTTTATACGACCGTTGTTGTTTGCTTACACATTTTTTCCATTCACTCAAAAGTAAAAATATAAATTAGTGACTCTGAGCATCAGTTCATACGTCATCTACAAAAATGATCTAGTTTTTGTCTGGAGTTCTGGATTAAATTAAGATTTACAATTTTAGCTTATTACCATGGTTACCAAATGAAAGGAAAGTGCAGTATTAGAATCACTGGTGTACATGTAGATGCGGATGTCCGGCAAAAAGAACTGGTATCAAAGTAAGTTCATCTGTAGAATTGCAGTTAATTTAAATAATTTAATGTTATCTATTTAAACCTTTTTCAAGTGTAATTGTACATGTTACGGCATGTATACTGTTGTTTATTTATGTCTTTCTGATCTCAAGTATGCATCAAGGAATCCTTGTCCTGCTCTCTTTCTTCTGCTCCACACACACACACGCATGAGATGACAGAAGTTCAAATATTTATAGCATTTGCTTATATTATGAATTGTATATTTAAAAGTTGTTCTCGTCTGAAATATACATACATTGTAAAATATTTGCCACTGAACATTAAAATAAGCAAAAAAAATCAATCGATTATTGTTTTTGCATTATAGGAATGAGTTTTCAAACAAACATGTATAACAATTGAATAATTTCCTTTTAAGATTTTTTTATGAACCAGCATATAGATATAACATGTATAAGGAGATGAGGTACATGTATGATTCTTAATGTGACAACTATCAATTAAAAAACCAAAGGACGAAGATGTAAACATTTGCTGGTCACTGTACAGCCATAAACAATGATCAAAATCCATACCATAAAGTAACCTATTATGGCTATACATGTAACTTGTATAAGGATGAAAAAATGTGAACCAATAAAAAAAATAAAACTACACACAGTATGGCAGACAGCAGCCAACATAAGAACCAAATGTCAGAATCAGCCAGAAAGGGCTGGACTCATCAACAAGCACTAAAAAGAAATAACAAAATAATAAAAGATGCAAAAATTATGTATTCCCAAACTAAAATATCTATCAGTTCACCTTCGACAGATTTAATCAATTAATGTAACAACAAAACATTTGTCATTTCAAACAGTCTAAGAAAGCATGACTTTGTGTAATGCCAAAATATTGAACACACAAGAATATGTAGGACCATAACAGCATATAAGTATTGATAGTTGCATAGAATTTCAATTTCTGAAATACATGTTCTGCTTTTTGTCAAGCTTGCAAATTTATTTCACGAAAGCGAGACAGTGATCCTAGATTCTGCCAGAGGCGGCGTCGCTGTCCTAAAATGTAGGTTCAGTCTGTGGTTAAATTTTTTTTTAACATTGATAACTTTGTCAAACAGACATGGGATTTTGTGAAATTGAGACAGAATATTTGAAGCTTCTTAATGACCAAACTACAGTATCCAAGGCAAAATTTTTCTGTATTTCAACTAATAAATGGGCTTAGTTTTTTTGATGAGCTTGCGACTTCCGTTGCAGAAAGCTCGACATAGGGATATTGATCAGGCGGCTGCGTCCATGGTGGGGTTAACAAACTTCTTCAAATCTTTATATTTTAGAAGGTGGAAGACACGGATGCTTCATACTATGTACAATGTATATAGATGCATATGTATGTTATGAAGTTTCTGTCAGTCAACTGTCCATTGTCCTTGAACTCATTTTCATGATTCAGTGATTACTTGAAAAAATAAAGATTTTTTGTAATGTTAATTTCTCTCATAATTTCTCTCTTATTAATATTATTTATAGTATTCATGGTCATAGGATATTTATATTTACTTAGTATATGGGTACCTTGCAAGGTCCTAGTGTCTGTCTACTCTGTCAGAAAGTTTTTGTGGTCAAGTCAATATCTCAGGCATTATCAGCAATAAGTCTACTGTATTTGGTGTATGGAATTATTGTAAGGTGTAGATGTCCAACTGGTAGTTGTAATCTGGCCTTGACCTCATTTTAATGGTTCAGTAATAAGTTTTTATGTTTTGGTCTAATTTTTATACGACCGCAAATAAATTTTTGTGGATTGATTTTGGGGGTAATTGCCTCCAAGTTTTAGGAATTAGGGGTCAAAAAGGGGCAAAAAACAAGCATTTTTTTAGTTTCATGACAATAACTTGTGTGTAAGTGTATGGATCTTTATGAAATTGTACTACAAGGTTCCATATCACAAAGGGAGAGCTGGAATGGAGTTTGGGGGTAATTGCGCAAAAAGTTTAGGAAAAAGGGGCCAAAAAGGGGCCAAAAATAAGCATTTTTCTAGTTTCCAGACAATAACTTGTGTTCAGGTGTATGGATCTCTCTGAAATTGTACTGCAAGGTACCATACCACAAAGGGAAGGCTGGGATTGATTTTGGGGTTAATTCCCTCAAAATTTTAGGAATTGGGGGCCATAAAAGGGCAAAAAAACAAGCATTTTTCTAGTTTTAGGACAATAACTTGTGTGTAAGTGTATGGATCTTTATGAAATTGTACTGCAAGGTTCCATATCACAAATTAACGGGAAAGCTGGGTTTGAGTTTGGGGGTAATTGCCCTAAACGTTTAGGAATTTGGGGCCAAAAACAAGCATTTTTCTAGTTTCCAGACAATAATTTGTGTTCAAGTGTATGGATCTCTCTGAAATTGTACTGCAAGGTACCATACCACAAAGGGAAGGCTGGGATTGAGTTTGGGGGTGATGAATCATAAGGGGGTTCAAAAAATTGGGGGGGGGGGATTTTTTTTTCCTTTTTTTTCTTTAAAATTTTCAATTTTAAATTGGTTATTTCTGATTTATATATAAAAGCAAATAATAATTATATGGTTTGAATAGGTAAATTAAAAATTTTTAAGTTCTTAGACCACTTTCATTCTGTGTCAGAAACCTATGCTGTGTCAAATATTTAATTACAATCCAAATTCAGTGCTGTATCAAGCTTGAATGTTGTGTCCATACTTGCCCCAACTGTTCAGGGTTCGACCTCTGCGGTCGTATCAAGCTGCGCCCCAGCGGAGCATTTTATTGGATACTATAAGCATTCAGTAAATTATATTTGGTGTATGGAATGTTTGTAAGGTGTACTGATCTAAAATTGAGAATGGAAATGGGGAATGTGTCAAAGAGACAACAACCCGACCAAAGAGTAAAAAACAGCCAAAGGCCACCAATGGGTCTGACAGTAATCACCTAGACTTGACCTCATCTTCATGGTTCATTGGATATTTTTTTCTTGCTTAGAGGTGAACTATAATTGGTTTCTGGAATGATTGTAAATTAAAATTGTAAGGTGTTTAGGTTTAACTTTACATTTATCTTGCAGGCTTCATCTGACCTTAACCTTATTTTCATTGTTCATTGGTCAATATTAAATTTCTCTTGATTTGGTCTTTTTTTTAGATACTAAAAGTAAAGGTGAACTACTTTATGTTTATGGAATGATTGTAAGGTATTTATATTTGTCTTGCAGGTACAATTCTTGCCAGATTTTTTAAAACTTATTCTATAGGTTAATATCAGCATAATCCTAGTCAAGCTTTATAAATTTGGCCGATCAACTTTTTTCAAAAGAGTTATGCCCCTTGGAAATAATAAATTTATGGAAAATGGCCTCGTAAATGCTCTCATTTTTTGTCGAGCCTTCGACTTTTGTCGAAAAAGCGAGACATAGCGATCCTACATTCCGTCGGCGTCGGTGTCGGCGGCGTCCAAAAATATTCACTCTGTGGTTAAAGTTTTTGAAATTTTAATAACTTTCTTAAACTATCCTGGATTTCTACCAAACTTGGACAGAAGCTTGTTTATGATCATAAGATAGTATCCAGAAGTAAATTGTGTAAAAAAAAATCTTGTTTTTCCGTATTTTACTTATAAATGGACTTAGTTTTTCTGCCAGGAAACATTACATTCACTCTGTGGTTAAAGTTTTTAAAATTTTAATAACTTTCTCAAACTATCCTGGATTTGTACCAGACTTGGCCAGATGCTTGTTTATGATCATAAGATAGTATCCAGAAGTTAATTTTATTAAACAAAAATCCTGTTTTTCCGTATTTTACTTATAAATGGACTTAGTTTTTCTGCCAGGAAACATTACATTCACTCTGTGGTTAAAGTTTTTAAAATTTTAATAACTTTCTTAAACTATCCTGGATTTCTACCAAACTTGGCCAGATGCTTGTTTATGATCATAAGATAGTATCCAGAAGTAAATTTAAAAAAAAAAATCCTGTTAATCCGTATTTTACTTATAAATGGACTTAGTTTTTCTGCCAGGAAACATTACATTCACTCTGTGGTTTTTTTTTTTTAAATTTTAATAACTTTCTTAAACTATCCTGGATTATAACCAAACATGGCCAGATGCTTGTTTATAATCAAAAGCTAGTATCTAGAAGGAAATTTTTATTAAAATTTTGTACTTGTTTATCCATATTTTACTTATAAATGGACTTAGTTTTTCTTCCAGTTAACATTACATACAGTCTGCAGTTAAATTTTTAAAAATATTTATTAGATTCATAAACTATCCTGGATTTTTACCAAACTTGGACAGAAGCTGCTTACAATAAAAAAATTGTATCGAGAGGATATATTTTTATTAAATTTTTTCCTCATCTCATTTTTGTTGAGCCTGCGATTAACAGCAAAAGTAGGCGAGACACTGGGTTCCGCGTAACCCTTACGAATTTTTTTTATTAAACTTATACATGTAGTATACTATTATAGTAATGCCCTGGTCGGTTTGAAATATTTAGTATACAAGAAAAAGAACTTTTTTTCCCCCAAACACATTTTTATTTATAAATATTTTTGAGAACAAAAAATAAAATTGAGAATGGAAATTGGGAATATGTCAAAGAGACAACAACCTGACCAAAGAGCAAAAAAACATGTTTTTTTTTAATATTGCCCCTTGATAGATAAAAAATGTACGACTAGTTGGACATTGAAACTCTTTTCTTTTATTTTTACTTGCAGAAACTGAAAAGTAAAGAAACAGAACCAAAGAACGTTAATTTTAGATTAATACAATATTGAACTGAAAGTCAATTTAGTTGTCTTTCTTAATCATACAGGATGTTTCCAAAAAAGCAGCTGCATACACATGCACCAGTATAAGCCAGCAGTGAAGACAATTAAATATCTGTGTATGGTGATATAACAATAGAAATATCACATACATCATAGGAAAATAGAAATGGAGTATGTCAAAGAGACACACATAATGACATATGAAAATAGAATATAGACAATAGAAATGGAGTATGTCAAAGAGACACACATATGAAAATAGAATATAGACAATAGAAATGGGGTATGTCAAAGAGACACACATGAAAATATAGAATATAGACAATAGAAATAGGGTATATCAAAGAGACAAACATATGAAAATAGAATATAGACAATAGAATTTGGGTATGACAGAGACAAAAATATTAAAAATAGAATACAGACAAAAGAAATGGGGTATGCCAAAGAGACTAACATATGAAAATAGAATATAGACAATAGAAATGGTGAATGTCAAAGAGACAAACAAACCAAAATAGAATATACTAGACAATAGAAATGTGGTATGTCAAAGAGACAAAAATATGAAAATAGAAGAGACAACAATTTAATAAAAAAAAAATTCTACTTGATATAAAAATTATGGAGCACTGTTATTTTTCTGCATAAAAGAATGCCTGTATACAGTTGTTTTTTATTTGTTTGAGCTTTTGATGTTGCCAAGTATTTTTTGTGGAGTTTGGTATTTTGGGTTATTTACTTTTTAAAGCAACAGCTCATCACAATGAAGTATTTACACTCAAAATGAGTTCCTGACGGAAAAAAGATAATAAAAGAAAAACATATTAAAACATCAAAACATAACTCTAAAAAACCTACCGCAAAAAAAAAATACATATATATACAAACCATGTTTAGAATCTATGAGAAAATAAATGCATTTGAACAATTAAAAACATATAAAAAATATATATTGAGGACCAAGATAAAATAATATGAAAACATATGTTTGGGCCAAACATATGAAAACATATGTTTAGGACAAACATATGAAAACATATGTTTAGGCCAGGTATGAAAACATATGAAAAACATATGTTTGTCAAAAACATATGAAAAACATATGTTTTCCATATGTTTACATGTATGAAAAACATATGTTTTTCATATGATTTTAAAAACATATGTTTTTCATATGTTTTCCATATGTTTTTCATATGTTTTCCATATGTTTTTCATATGTTCGAAAACATATGTTTTCATGTCGGGCCTAAACATATGTTTACATATGTTTTCAAACATATGAAAAACATATGTTAAACATATGAAAACATATGTTGCAATTTTTCCTATGTACTTTCATCATTGAAACAATATGGGTTATACGAGTAAATTCCGATTACCACTATTTCAATGAACATTATGAACGTAATATACAAATTATTTCATTTACTGTGACTTGACTGTTAGTGTTGCTCTGCACCTATTTCAACTTATTCAAAATTCTGACCCAATTGCTATTTGTTTTATAAAACCAAACTGTTCAACTGGTCAGAAATTTGAACAAACTGCTGAAGAAAACCACAGTCAAGTCGTGAAAGTGCAAGGTGATAAAATAAAGCATACTTACAATCCTATAAGACTTTAATTCCACTTCAATGTCATTATGAAAAATCAGTATAACAGTTTGTATAGAAATTTTATTGTTATTGTCATGCTAAAGGTGATAGGTATTAATTTTGAATTGCTATAAAAATGTTCAAACTAAGCTTTCATACAATTTTTCTTTCGAAACGTCTTCTATATTCATAAAAATCAGACATCATTTGAATTAAAACATTTTATATTCAGTAAAATATGTGTGCAATTACAATACGTTGTTAGGAAGTTTTCATGGGGGATAATCAATTTTTCTTTCGAAAAGTTCTCTTTATTCAAAAGAATAATGTTTTAGGCTATCTCCCAAGGAAACTTATTAACAACGTATTGTAATTTCACACATATTTTACTGATTATACGATTTTTTAGTTCAAATGATGTCTGATTCTTATGAATATATTATATTACATACATTAGGAAAGATAAGAAAAAGTCCAATTTTGTGGAAATATTTCAGAAATTTTCGAGGAGAATGCATTAGAATTTGACAGATAATCTAAAAAAAAAAATACACAGAAATGTTAATTTGTTTGCCAAAATATTAACACCAGTTTAAAATTGTTAGTAAATAGCATATCAAAAGTATAAATAATGAATCTTGAAAATAAAAACAGTCCAATATAAATATCTTTTGAATGATTCCCCTTATTTATTGTTTAATTTTTGTAATTCTTTCTTTTTGAATTTTTAATATTGAAGAAAACCTTTTTTTTTTTTTAATAACTGCAACTGTTCTGCAGTCAAGTTTTATAATTGACAAATTATGAATTGTTCTGCATTCAGGTTCATGAGGTTAGCATTTCTTTTTTCTTTCTGGAAAACATTGACAAAGCTGACAAATGACCCGATTCAACAACAGTTACCGACTGCGTGACATAACTTGGTTTGAAAGATAACGCTTTTTATGGAAAGAAGTTCTTGACTGAAGAACATCAATCGCCCCACAAACCAACTGAACGAATGGCACAACATGATATCAAAAAAATGTTCAGTATGCAAAAACCATTATCGAATACATCATCAAACTATATAAGAAGATGCATGCAGTTACCGAATGTTCAAGTGTTTAGAATCCAACTGTAGGATCTCGTCCAACAATGATTGGATTTACATTAAACAACAAATTCACATTGAAAAGTCCAGAATACACTAACTTCCTAGATAAACTATACCTATACAGTTGAAAATGCTCATTTAACTTTTAATAGCTAACTGGTGTAGTACAAAGTTGACAACAAGGAGAAAACGACTATCACAACAATCATAAAAAAACAAGTTTCAATGAAAAAAAAATATTAGCAATGTACAACTAAAATAATAGACAGGTAAATGACCCAAAGTCTATCAATTGTTACATACATGTAACGTGCCACAAATAAAAATCAGATGCAGTCGCATAAATGTCAAAATATGTTGCCACTATGCCAAAATTATAATTAGCATTTATCATAAAATCAACGTTCACAGCAGAACGTCTTATATATATAAAGTATATCTTTAAGGAATTTAAAACGAAGAAAATGATAAAAGCAATCGATTATTTATTGAAATTACAAATAGTTATATATTTTCTTATTGCAGTAACAATTATGTATACATGCTCATTATATTTTCTATGTTTACGATACTATTTTAATTGTTTTATTCAGCTACCAAAATAATGTTGAACTACGAATATGTCTTTTTATACAATCTATCAACCTAGTACATGTACAAAATCAACCAATGCATAATTTTTTTTTAATGCATTAAATTCGTATTCTATAGCTAAAAATTATGAGGTCACAAGACTGGTACACTCTAACAATACACAATTAAGTATTTTTTTACATTAATATATATCGTTTAATCACAACTCTGTTCACGGATATCTAACAATTATAGAATTTCGTATTTTGATTTCATTGATAAAATATTTATATGTTTGTCTGAATATAAAACATGAATGCATTGGTGTCAGACATATCTGTTCATTTATGAGGCAACACACAATCTGGTTTCAATTAGCATGATAATACCTTACCTTAAAACTGCTGCTACTGTTTGTAGATTAAATCTAGCCATATTTGCTTGAGGTTCTAAGAAAACATCAGTTTAATAGTTATTAAATGTTAAACCACTCTGTATTCGTACATTAGTATATATGTCTACAACGTTTTCTTTGCTTTCAGAGATATTCAATTTTTCAGGTATAACGAGACTTTTGTACATTTATATTATAAATAATTCGTAACATTTACTAAAATTATCATGCTTCCACAGTTCGGTCTTTAATACTTTTCCTGTAAGTTAAGAACATAATAATTATATTTACTTATATGGTATTGAATTTGCTGTGAGTTCAAAAGTCATATGATATAAGTCTTTAGATTTGTGCAACGAAATTAAGCAATATCATTACCGGAACTGGATAGGTTTTACATAAAATAAAAACACGCATTGTAAGTGTCTGTACCATTTCTGGTATACAACATTTCCAGACCGTCAAATTATTCATCTCGCAATTATATTCACTGTTGAACATTTATAATACCAAATGTACGCAAAGGATATTCACAAAACACTTTGCTTTTTTTTATTTGTAATTGTAAGAGAATGAAATGATGATATAACAGAATA